AATAGTCCTTCACAATCTTAATTTGAAGCTAAGGAAATGCTTTGTTGGTAGCACTGCTACATTCTAGCTTTTCTGTATATGTGTTATAAAAGTAAAAGCATCTTATATTGTTATTCACAAATAGCTATTTTTTAACCCATGTTATTTTTCTCCATTATTCCCTGTGCAAAAAAAGATGGTATTATTATCTATTATGAAAATTATTTCATAGAACACTAGATGATTCTCGTTTAGTAACTTCATTGATTTGATTAGCTTTTTTCCATGCTTTAATCACTTTAATGTTTTATTGTATTATCTTATTAGTTTTTCTTTACTATATAACTTATCTTTTATGTCTTATTTTGCTTATATATTTAGCACTTGAAGATCCACTTAAAAGATTGAGAGTTCAGTCATTTCAGTCTTATTTTGAGGTAGTTTTCAGTGAACTAACTTGCAATGTGTGATGTTAACTCTCTCAACACAAGGTGGGAGGCTGTTTTCTTACAATACTCAGCTACCAGAGTTTTCCTGGATCCCTGACTTAACTTTCTAAGATCCAGAGAAGGACTTCCCAGTGACTAATCTCTGTCTCCTGCTTTTGTCTATTGTCTTATTCCCTAAATAACATGGTTCCTGCTGTTCTGTACTTGCCCTTCTGATTGACTCTGCCTTTACATCACAATGCCTCCTCAGTTTGAATTTACTATGACACTTAAGGAAGAGGACAGATAAAGATCAGCACCCTTTAGTCTGCCTTGCTTTTTCTCTCTGGTTTGGATTCAATTCTTAGATCTTCTGTTTAGCTCTGTTGATTTAACTGTATTTAAGAAGTTTTGTTTCATTTCTTTTTTCCTTTACAGCCTCTACTAGGAGTCTCACAGACTCTTGAACAAAACCTGTTCTTCTCTATCTGGAGCATGAGCAATTTTAGGAGAGATGTATTTGGAAAAAAATAAGAAAAAGATCACCTTTGTAGCCAGAGCAATAACTGACCAAAAGGATGACATTACGTTAACGACAGATCACCTTCACATCCAGATGTTTTTATGGATTTAACATACTCAGAGCACTGTGGACAGCTCATACATTAGCACATTACTTGGCACATAAGTACAAAATAAATGGTATCTATAATATCCATTTGGGCTTTCTTTATATCCTAGCTGGAGAGCTAAGACAGGAAATTCCAGCTAACTGTTTAAGAAAGCCAATATATCTGAGCAGAAAAGTCAGTAAGTTCAGAGAGGACTGAGATCACTATGGTACAGAGTAGACAGACTTCTCCAATAATTGAGCCAAGCCAAGCGTTGCAAGGATTTTTACTACTAACTCTGCCTCCACTGTTTCCTGCTTCTTACCATAAGTGGGTCCTTTCAGTTGGTTTTGCCTACTAAAAATAAGCAATATTTTAAAGAGCTCTATAACACAAATCCTGACACTTTGTGCATTTCTACTTAAAACAACGCATAAAGAAAACCACTCTTAATTCCAAAGATCCTATTAATAGATAACTCTCTTCTTTGGGTGAATATAGCTGTCCTGTTCTTCTGACAGAATCTCTTGTCTTCCACTTAACTTATAAATACATGGGAGCCTGGGACTATGTGTTTCTTATTCTTAATCTGTAATTCCCTGTGGATAAGACTGGCCTGATTCCTACATTATAATCTAATCACTTTCTAAGAAGTCCCCATATTTGTTGAAGGTGATGGATTAGCCTTTCATTTGCCCCAGCCCAAACAGTGCTTGTTGTCTTAAGCATTCCCATCAGCTGCTTTCCTCTGACTTTAATTTCTATTCCAACCAAATATGCTCCTGCTTGTGTTCCCTGATCACCCTACTGTGAGAGCATATTAAATAATACTTTTAAGAAGATGCAAGACTTCTCTTAAGAATATAAACTTTTCTTAGTGGTTTCTATGCATTAACCAGGAGATGCACACATTGGCCAATCAGATCTAACCAAGTACAGAGAAAGTCTTCACTAACAGCACCCAAGTTAATTTCAAACCCCATCAAATTAATATAGCTTTACTTTTCAATTTTGTCAATGTTTTGAGTCACTGTGTTTTAACGCATTAATATAACAAGCCTTAGTTCAAATTCATGTAGACTTACTTTTTTCCAATTCACTGAAAACATTTTTATTCAACTCTTGTTTCTAAACAACTAATGTATTTTTTATTTGTGGTTCTCTTGTGCAAATGGACTGTTTTTAATGTTATTAATATGTAATTGCTCTCTTTCATATGTCTTCATGATCTACTTTTCATTCTGTTTGGCAGACACTGGTTGTTTTGTGATTTTGAAAAAAAAATCGCTTGTAAGTATAACATAGAAATAGTAAATACCAGCAAAATTATTTTAAACATAATTCTGTGTATTCTAAACTGTTTTTCATAGACTATTATCTTAAAACCTAATTCAAGGCAAGCATGGAATTCTTTTCACCATTAATGCTGCAAAGATTCATTTTTAAATGTTAAATGACTATTTCTTGGTTTCCCATTATATGCCAGATATGGTTCCAGGTGCTGAGGATCTAATGGTGAACAGACAGACAAGGATTCTGCCTTTAACCAGAATACATTCTAACAGAGGTTGTAAGTGCAAATAATACCACAAATGAATCAGATACATAGTCTGTGGAGATGGCAGTTGATTACCTGATTCTTCTTCTCCCACTGCCATTGTTTCAAGACCTATCTACAACTAGTTTGATTTAATGTTAGGCTACTACCCTCTTCTAGGAAAAAGTACATAAAGGCCTTGGTTCTGATATGAGAGACAAAAGATGGAGAGGCACCTGGGAAGGTCAAGGTTCTCATTTTAGACTAGAATTAAATGGACATTATTTTAAGAATGAATTATAAAGTATTATACTTTAAGCAAACACTGAACACTATATCAGTTATGTTCCAGGCTTTATAACCCCTACATACCCTAGCTAGAGAGATAGAGACATAAAATAAATAACTACTGATATTTACTGATAGTAACATTGTTACTGGTAATATTACAATAAAAAATATATTAAGTACAATGGGAGTACCACAAAGGAAGTAACACACTCTTGTCTGCCTGAGGTAAGGCTCACCATCAGATGACACCTAAACTGAGTCTTAAGGGTGTTGGGAAGCACAGCATACTTCATTTTTTTTTCCACAAATACTTACAGAGCACTTTTTAATGTGCCTGATACTATAGTAAACACTGTAGACACAGCAGTGAACCAGATAGAGTCCCTCTTGGCAGTACAGAAACACAATAGATGAATATATATATATATTAGGTGATGATACATGTTATACCAAAAAATAAAAGTCTTTTCAGAAAAGGAACTTTTCTGAAAAGTAGCAGGGATGCAAATTTTTTAAATTCAGAGACATCATCTCTAATTAGATAATATTTGAGTAGAATGCTGAATGATATGAAAGAATAAGACCAAGAAGTAGGGGACACTATTTCAGACAGAAGGAACAGCATGAACAAAGGACATAATGGGCATAAAAGGGTGGCATTTATACGCAATATGAGATAATCTTTGCTGAAATGTGGAGTATCAAGGGACCAAAGGGTGTAGAGCCACATGTATCAAGTTCAAGAATGTAAATGCCCACTTTGTCAACTGGGAAAAGAGGGACTAGATTTTGAAGATAGTTTAAGAAGAAAATGACACATACTTTTGCTTGGTATGGATAGGTTTTGATAGGTATGATTTGGTATTTGGAAAATTAGACCTAGCAATAGTATGCAGGATGAATCTAAATAAGAAGCACAAGAAGCCAGTTATAAGATTATTGTGATTTTACAGATGAGAAATTATGTGGCTTGAATTAAGTTAGTAAATGAGGCTCACATGGAGATGGTAGAGTTTAATTGCTTTAGGAGAGCTAGTTTATAAGATTTGGTGTTCTGTGGAATATGGGAAAGGTCAAGAACAACTCCAGGGCTTAAGTGTGGGTGGCTGAGTGGGTGGTAATGCCATTAACCAGCTTATAAGTCCCTGGAAGTTGGGTGGCAGATTTAGAAGCTCAGAAAAATGAATCCTATTTGGGGCAGTGGAAATACAGGACTGGATATTAGAAGAGTATCAGGGCTGGAATACATATTTGGCTGTTACTGGCATTTCATATAAATTTTAAAAGGAGAAGCAACAAAAAGAAGTATCTGTCCGAAACTACAGAGAAAATGAGTAGGATGAGAATTTTTTTAAATGCCATTGGATTTGACAGTTGGAAGTGTATCAGTGACTTCAAGAAGATCCGGTTCAGTGGATGTGCATGGAGACAAGGCCATATCATGATTGGGTTAAAGAATGAAGGAGTGAGAAGCTGAGATCATCCCACCAAAGTCACTGTCCTTTTCTTCCTTGAAAGCGTTAAACCTTAGGTCAGATATTTTCTTTCTCCTCCCTCCTTAGATTTCTTAGGACTGGATGCTGTAGTTAGGGCATAATGGAGGTACAAATTAAGATCCTTTGGTCTTTAGTGGGAGAGTGGTCACAGATAGAGGAACCTGATGTTGTTAAGTTAGATACTGCAGGGAATATCCTTATGGGGGAACAGCAAGTACAGTCCAGAGACCTGTATCCAGAAGAAGAAGAAAAAAACCAAAAAACAGGTAGGTCTCTGTTTTATGAGGACTTGCAGGGCTAGTGGGAGAAACATGGAATTAGTTAAGAAACTCCACCCTAATGAGAGAGTGGAATCTGGTCGAGTATGGGGGTGGGGTAGAATCTGAGGCAGTAAACTGATGTTATCTAGAAATTCAAATACATGTGTCTAGATTTCCTAGGGCACTGGGACTGAGGATGTTGGCAGTACTTTTGGCAATAAAGATAGTAGAGACAGAATAGTTAATGGATCACAAGGTCACCCTTAGACCTGTCATGTGGATGTTTAATTAATATTTGTGAAGCCAAGAGGCAGTTCAGAGGATGTGGGAGGAAGGGATTAGATGTCAGAGTTTCTGAAGAGCTATAAGTAAATACCTGAGTTGCATTCAGGGATAGATGGAGGCTCGGACTAAAGATCCCCAAACCACTTGGAGGGCCAGAACTCCAGGTTGTACCTTGGTAGAAGTTGAGAATAATGCTCAGATAGAGGGACTCACTCCCTTAACCTCAAAGACCTGAGGAGTTACCATTGAATGGATTTGCGAGATATCCCACTTCTGCACACACAAAAAAACACTCCCTTAGCCCTCTTGCTTGCCACTCTGTCTCCTGCCCACTCGGGGGGCGGGGCTCGAGGGCAAGGCTGGTAGCTGTTTCAGTCCTCGAGAGCCATCAGTTCCTACCAGACTCTTGCTGGGGGAGCCGGCCTACCCCATGGCAGAACACAGGACCTCAAACTTGAACCCCCTTCAATCCAGTGGCGGGGGTGGCTCCGGAGGGCCAGTGTCCTTGAGGGTTGACACTCCAACCTTATTGAGTGCCCAGGTGGCTCCTGGCAGGATGATGGTCCAGCCAGGAGTTGGGCCAGGCATTTTCCCAGGCCCTGACATGTGGGGGGTGCCCCTGGGTCCCCTGCCTTATGAATTCCGGGGCAGGATGACCTCGTGTGGAGCTGGCGAAATAGGAGTCTGGTGCCAGAGGCCTCCCGAGGGCACTTGTTCTGGACCTTACATTGCTCTGCGGAGCCTCCCGAAATTGGCGCTGCCCGAAGATGTCTTAGCTATTAAAAAGGAGATGGAGCAGCTGGCTAAGGAGCTGAAGCTGAAGAGGATGACCCTAGGGTACTCGCAGGCGGATGTGGGGTTCGCCGTGGGAGCTATGTTTGGAAAGGTGCTTAGCCAGACAACCATATGCCGCTTCGAGGCCCAGCAGCTCAGCCTCGCCAACATGTGGAAGCTGCAGCCGCTGCTGAAAATGTGGCTAGAGGAAGTGGATGCCAAGAACCTTCTGGGCTTATGCAAAATGGAGATGATTCTGCAGCAAGCTCGGAAGCGGAGACGGGCAAGCAGGGAGAGACGAATCAGAAACAACCTGGAGAAACTCTTCCTGCAGTGCCCAAAGCCTACACCCCAGCAAATCAGCCGCATCGCTGGGCACCTCCGGCTGCAGAAGGACTTGGTCCAAATTTGGTTCTATAACCGGAACCAGATGGGCAGTCGGCCAATCAACGACGCCTTCCCACTGGAGAATGTGGGAATGGCCGGGCCTTCTTTCCCAGGGCCACCAGTGTGCTTTCCGCTGGCACCAGGGCTCCATTTTGATTTCCCCCACTATGGGGGGTCCTACCTTACACCCATGTACTCCTCTACCCGTTTTCCTGGGGGAGGAGCCCTCCTCTGTGCCCCGGCCACCACTCTGGGCCTCCCCAGGCTTTCAAGCTGAGGGGCCTGTCCCATTGGGGAAGATAAGAGAGGGAGGGAAAGGGAAAGCTGGGGAAGTCCCTGGGATTCATTTCAGGGCCGTTAGCCTTTTGTTAAGAATATGTACTAGGGAATGAGGGTGGGAATTGTTTAGGAAAAAACTGGGAGGGAATTTGAAGTTTACAACTGCTTTGTTTTTCCCTAATATTGATTTGAAGGCATATTACAATATATAGTTAGTTTCTATATTTTGTTTCTTTCTTTTTTCTTTAATTCATCGGAGATTGTGTCTGTTTCTTGTGGTTATCAGGAAGCAGTGGATTTGATTTTTTTTTTCTCATAAACACAATACTGAGTCAAAAATTCAAGTCAGGAAGACTACTTCAATGTACCGTTTTTTAAAATTAAAAACAATCAGCACTTTGCATGAACATAAAATCCAGGATAATAGTATCCCCTGCAGAAAGGCTTGAGAATAGCATAAGAAAGGAGTACACACAACCCACCCAGAGCCCTTGCTGAAACACATGAGTTTACTTGGAAGCTATCTTTTTTCTAATTCACGTTTTTATTTGCAGTGCCCCAGCTTTGTGTGGAGGGTCTCAGTTGAACTGTCCACTTTATGCCGTCCCATGAGTTTATCTCCTGTCCTGACGCTGAAGTCACTCTATTCTAACCCCCTTTGTTACTGGGATTGACAAGCTGAACAACTGTAGCTTCAGCTCCACCTCCAGCATACTTCTCTGGGTTTCAGCTCCATTTCGTTTGTTCCCTGAAAATTTTCTGTACTTTCTTCTAAATTCAGAAATACTTGTGAGAGTATGTTTGTGATACTTGATATAACTCCTGTTTGCTTTTGCTGTTGTACATCTTAAATCTCTTCTCCAACATTTTCACTGAAATTGGTTCTTTTCTACTTTTCCACATTCATTTTGGTCAGTTTTGATTATCCTATACTCAGTGTAAATCATAATCCCTGTTTAGGGCTGGGAATGTAATTCAGTGGTAGAGTTCATGCTTAGCATGCACAACACCCTGGGTTCAATCCCCAGCACCAAAAAGCAAAACCCAAAATCTTCTTTCAGATCTACTGCCGCGCATATGCAAGTATTATCTGTCTTATACTTCTATTCCTATATATTATATCTGTGGTTATGAATTCTTTTTTACTTATTAATCTTATCCGTTTTTGCCTTTTCTTTTTTCTTAGTAAGTCTTGCAAGGAATTTGTCTAGACATATATTTATCATAATTTTTAATGCATTGTACAAATTAATGAGTTTCACTATGGCATTTCCATACATATATGTATCATGTTTTGATCTTGTCCACCCTCGTTTCTCCCCTTTATTCTCCTCCTCCCCTGAATCTCCTTCCTCTTCCATAGTAGTCTCTCTTCTACTTCTAGATTATCTTTTTTTTCCCCATACGTAAGAGACAATTTGCAATATGTACCTTTCTGGGTCTTTGGTAAAGATGCTGTCTTTTCTCCTGTGTATGTTTTTAGTTCCTTCATTGAGAGTGGCTGGCTGAAAATGTATAGGTTTATTTCTGGGTCCTCTATTCTATCTCACTGATCTGTTTTTATGCCAATACCATGCCATTTTTGTTACAATGGCCATGCTGTATAATTTGAAATCTAGTGTTGGATTGCCTCCAGCATTGCTCTTTTTGCTGTAGGTTGGTTGCTTTGGCTATTCAGGGTCTTTGTGCTTCAATATGAATTTTTAAATGATTGTTTCTACATTTTGTAGAGAACGTATTGGTACTTTGATGGGCATTGCATTGAATCTATACATCACTTTCAGTAGTGTGGCAATTTTAACTTTAATCTTCCCATTCCATGAATATGGTCTTTCCACCTGCTAGCATCTTCTTTAATTACTTTCTTCAGTATTTTATGATTTTTATGATAGAGGTCTTTCATCTCCTTGGTTAAGGTTATTTCTAGCTTTTTGTTTATTCCTAGTCTTTGTTAGGGTGTGTGTGTGTGTGTGTGTGTGTGTGTGTGTGTGTGTATTTGTTGTAATGGTATTGTTTTCCTGATTTCTTTCTCAGTGAGTTCATTACTGGTATTTTCAAAAGCTACTAATTTTTGTATGTTGATTTTGTGTCCTGCTACTTTTCTGAATTTATCTGTTCTAAGTCTTTTGGTGAAGTCTTTAGGGTTTTCTAAATATAGAATCACTCTGTCAGCAAAAAAAAAAAAGTATTTGACTTCATCCTTTCCTGTTTGCATACCTATGATTTCTTTCATTTATTTAATTTTAATTGCTCTGTCTAAAATTTCAATTACTATATTGAGTAAGAGTGGTAAGAGTGGACACTCTTGTGGTCCTGATTTTAGAGAAAATGTTTTCAGTTTTATCCCATTCAATATAATGTTGGCTATGGGTTACTCATTATTGTATGGAGCCTATCTCTCCCTTCACATCCTATGGTGTTTGTTTTATAAAATTGAGTGCTCCATGTTCAGTACATGAATATTTACAATCATTATATCTTCTTAAAGAATTGTTCCCTTTATCAGTACATATCATCCTTCTATCTATACCTAATTTATTCAGGGATTTTATCATGAAGGGATATTAGATTTTATCAAAGGCTTTTTCTGCATCTGTTGAGGTGATTTTGTGATTAGTATCTTTGATTCTATTTGTGTGCTATATTATATTTATTGATTTGTGAATGTTGAATCAATTTTGCATTCCTGGAATTAAACCACTTGATATTAGTGTGTACTCATTTGAGTATGCTCTTGAATTCAATTTTCAAGTGTTTTATTGAGGATTTTTTTTATCCATGTTCACCAAGGATATTGACCTATAGTTTTTGTTTGTTTGTTTGTTTTGTTTTTTTAGTTTTTTGGTTGTTTGGGTTTTTTTTTTTTTGGTTTGGTTTTATTGTTGTTGTTGTGTCCTTATCAATTTTGGACAGCAGGATAATAATGTCTTCACAAATTGAGTTTGGAAGTGTTCTATCCCTTTCTGTGTTATGGAATAGTTTGAAGTGCATTTGAAAGTCCAGTAAAATTCAGCAGTGAATCTGTCCAGTTCTAGTCTTTCTTTGCTGGGAGACTTTGTATTACTGCTTCAGTGTCATTCATAGTTATTGATCTGCTTAGTTTATATCCTCTTGGTTCAATTTTGATGGGTCGTATATGTTCAGAAACTTGTCCATTTCTTTTAGATCTTATAGTTTATGGGCATATAGTTTTTTAAATTATTCCCTAATAGTCCTATTGATTTTGATGGTATCTATTGTAATATCCTCTTTTTCATCTCTAGTGGTACTTTTTGAGTTTTCTTTCTATTTAGCTAAGGATTTGTCAATTTTATCTTTTTAAAGAATGAACTCTTTGTTTTAATGATACTTTGTATCATCCTTTTAGTGTCTATTTCATTTATGTCTGTCCCGATCTTTGTTATTTCTTTCCTTCTGTTTATTTTGAATTTAGTTTGTTCTTGGTTTTCTAAGACTTCGAAATGCATCATTAAGTCATTTATTTGATCTCTCTCCCTCTCTCATAAGTATAAACTTTCCCCTTAGTTCTATATTTGCTGTGTCACACAAGCTTTGTGTTTTGTGTTCCCATTTTCATTTCATTCTAGGAAATTTTTAATCTCCCCCACCCTGATTTCTTCAAAAACCCGCTATTTGTTCAGAAGTGTATTGTTCAATCTCCATGCATTGGTATGATTTTTATAGTTTCTCTTGCTGTTGATCTCATTTCACTATGATGTGATAAGATGCAAAAATTATTTCAACATTTTAAAATTTGCTAAGGCTGCTTTATGGCCTAATATATGATCTATTTTGGAAAAAGTTCCATGTGCTTATGTAAAAAGTGTGTTCTGCTACTCTTGAATGGAATATTCAGTAGATATCTATAAAGTTCATTTGATCCTAGTGTAATTCATCTCTGTTGTTTCTTTGTTGATTTCTTTCATCTAGATAATCTATCTGTTGCTAAGAGTTGAGTAATGAAGTTACTCATTATTATATTGGGGCCTATCTCTCCATTCACATCTTATGGTGTTTGTTTTATAAAATTGGATACTCTATGTTCAGTACATGAATATTCACAATCATTATATCCTCTTAAAGAATTATTCCCTTTATCAGTATATAGTGATTTTGTCTTTTCTAACTGATTTGGCTGAAAATCTTTTTGTCAGACATTAGTATAGCTACTCTGCTTTCTTTCAGCTTCCATTTGCTTAGAATATCATTTTTTACTCTTAAATTTTGGGTCTTTGTCTTTTCTGGTGAGGCAAATTTTTTGCAGGCAGCATGTTGTTGGGTCTTATTTTTAATCCACCCAGCCTGTCTACATCTTTAATTGGAGAATTAACATCATTTACATTTTATTATTGAAATGTACTTGTTTCTCTCATTTTGTTGTTTTTCTTCCTGTTGTTTTGAATATTTTGTTTGTTATTTCCTCTCCAATTTATTTTAGAGCTTGATAGTTTTCTGTATTAGTGATGTTTCTTTCCAAATTCTCATGTGCTTCTCTACACTTCTGGTAAGATTTATTTTTCCCATGCTTCATGATTGTTTGTCATTTTTCTTCTTCTAGCTAGAGAATTTTCATTGGTTTACTAGTCATGAATTCCCTTAGTTTGTTGTTATCATGTAAGGTCTTTATTTCTACTTCAATTCTGAAGAATAACTTTGATGGATAAAGTAATCTAAGTTGGCAGTTATTTTCTTTCAAACTTTGAAATGCATCATTTCATGCTTTCCTGGCCTAATTTAGAATTTCTGTTGAGAAACCTGCTGTTACTCTGTTAGATTTGCCTTTATATGTGGCTTGGTGCTTCTTTCTTGAAGCTTTTAATATGCTTTCTTTGTTCTGTGCTTTTTGCAGTTTAATTATAATGCAAAATTAAGGCATCCTTTTCTAGTTATATCTATTTGGGGTTCTAAATACTTCTTGTACCTGGTTGTCCATGTGGTTGCCAAGACTTGGGAAATTTTATGCTGTCATTCTACAGAATGGGTTTTATATGTCTTCAGTCTATAGGTCTCTTATCTATTTGAATTATGCATATGTTTGTTCTTTAAATAGTGTACCAGAAATCCTATATCTGTTTGTTCTTTCTTTTCTTTTCTTTATTACTGTCTGAATGTGATAATTTCCCAACCTTATCTTCAAGTCCTGATGGGTTTTTTTTCCCTTCTACACATTCTGTCTATTGGTGAGGCTTTCAATTGAGTTTTTAAAATGACTTGTTGAGCTT